CCGCCCGCCCTGCGGAGGGGGCCCGGGCAGCCCCTCCCCACCGCACCGCCTCTGCCTTCAGGTGCGATTTTGACCAGTCACTTAATAAATTTCCGGGTTTTTTTGGTTGGTGTGTTGTTTTTTGGTTTTTTTGGGTTTTTTTTTTTTACAAATACTTGTCAGCGACCAGCCTTTCTTTTGGTTTGGTTTGTTTAATTCTCATTGCACCCATCATTCGACTCGGGCGGGGGAGGCACAAAGGGTGTCTAGAAAATCTTTCAGAACCCAAAAGCCAGCAGAAAGGAGAACTTCGGTAGTTTTCATTAACAACAGGGAAATACTCAAATCTTACCCTGTTTATTGTTCTGTGAAGAAGATAGGGAGTCCTCCTCTATTTCCCTGTGCAGCAAAAATAAAGTGGGAAGAAAAAGAACTCGCATGAAAGTATTACAGAAGTAAAATCGCAGGTGTTAAGAACATAAAACCAGCCTTGTGTGTGTGACAGTTGGTGATGTTGGAAGGGTGAATGGCCTGTTCATCCCAGTCCTCGTCCCACTCCTCAACAAGGAGGTTGAAGGGAGGTAGGAAGGGACGGACCTTCAAAGCAGCACCCCAGAAATGGGGGCTGCTCTGCCACCGGGAGTGCCACAGGGCTGGCACCAAGACACTGACCCCAGCCACATCATTTGTGAGCACCGGCTCCTCTGCACAGAGCCCCACGGACAGCACGCAGACTAAAACAGGAATTAGAGTCAGGCTTGGGGTGTTCTTAAGCTGATTTTAGCTTCTGTGCAGGGCTCCCTCTGACGTTGGATCACACTGCTTCTGCCATGACCACGACCACCAACAATAATAGTACCACCTAAATCACTATGGCACTTTTCATTAGCAGATCTCGAAGAGGCTTTATAAAGACCATCAATAGCAACCCTTCTGTTCTACACATGGGGAAACTGAGGCACAGGATGTGTCCAAGGGTGCAAGATCAGAGCTCAGTTAGCCAAGCCCCACTCCAGGCCATTCCTCTTCCAGAAGGGAGAGCTTCTGCTGTTGTAAATTAAACTTTTAGGGCCTGTGTTCTTGTGGCAGAAATCCCTTGAATCCAGCTCTGGAGACAAGCTTCTGAAACTAGGATTTCCAAACCCTTTCTGTTCTGTTAGTTCCCACTGGATGGCTGTATTTCTCCCTTGGACACGTCCGTTCTTCCTCTGCCTGTGGCCATACTTCTGAAAGTATATTTTGTTATATCCCAAAAGGAAAAATGGAAATTAGAGGCATTCATATCGACAGTTAGTCAAAATCATTCAGAGGAAAGGCAACAAAGATAAAATATCAAATCTCTACTTCATTTTTTAAAAGCCTTTAAAAAACAAGGAGTTGTTCTCCTTCATTGCCTCACACAGAAGTTCAGATGACTGTAGGCATTGCATTTTAGGAAGCTGAAGAGGGTTTTTAATCTGCTTCCACTGCCGGTTCAAGGTCTTGGTCTTCAAAGCTCTGAATGTATCTGTGGCCAGCTACAAAAAGTGCCTGCACCTGCATCTACAAATCACAGGCATATCTGTGTTCCTCCAGGACAATGCAGACCACACAGTCCAGAAGGAAGCAGCCAGGAACAAAACATGCACTGTCAAGGTTGCTCTAAGCTTCCAGAGGAAATCAGACAAACGTAGCCTGAATCACTTCTAGGAAATGCTGCAAAAGTTTCCTCTCTTAAAAGATTTTTCCATCATAATCAGGGCAACATTCACAACATCCACTCTTCCCCTTCCCACTTAGAGAAAAAATATGCTGCCCCCCAGCAGAGCTTTCTCAACCCAGAGAGGCCAGGCGCTCCAGGAAGGCCACCAGGGATTATGCTATTACCAGTCTAATTACCACAGAAAATGCTTACATGAAACAATGAGAGATGGTAGAACAAACCCAAAGGTAAAATCAGCGGGGACCTTTTGAAGCAAGCAAATCATCAGAGACTTTGTT